CCCCAAAACCCCAAAACCCCAAAACCCCAAAACCCCAAAACCCCAAAACCCCTAAAATGACAAATCTGGTTGAAATATATAATCCTTTGTGACTCAAATTAATTATCTATGCTCCCAAGATTCTCATTGAATTCCAAGTTTGCTGAAATTTGCTGGGATAAAGCAGACTCCTTTCTCAGAGAGGGCATTTACAGCGTCTTTGAACTCTTGGACTTGAGAGTTGGTGTTGTAGATGGCTATCATGCATCCACCAAATCCTGCACCGACAATCTTTGCTCCTACCTTGTGTCTATTTGCGAGGACAACAATTTCATCAATAATTTCCGCTCCAGCTTTAATCGATTCTAGAAGTCTGTGATTGGTGTTGACCAAGTGACTTAAATGGTCAGAATCATAGGTTGCCTCTTTTAGAAGTGCCTCGATCGAATTTGTAGTGCAGCAAATAGCTTCCATCACAGCATTGAAGATCTTGATGTTTGATTCGTTGGAGTATTTCTTCTTGACTCCTTCGCTTTCCTCTGTATAAAGGAAAATTTCTAAAGGATCAAACTAAAATTTACCTGGATATTGCTGATGCATGGTTACCATATCGTCCAAACTATCTTTGGGAGTCCTATGGATTCCAGTATCTATTAGGTCAAATTTGAAGTCTTCAGACAAGTGAAGACCTGCTGATGCTTCAATCACCTCAGAGGCTTCCGTCATGTTTCTGGCTTTAGAAAAGTTAGATATAGTACTAGTGTTTCTTACAGTATTTGTAGATTCCTCCAAGAGAGATCACTGCTGATTCTGCACCAGAGATAGACTTGTGAGCCTCCTTTTCCCCTATATCTGCTATGGTTCTGATTCTCCATTGGTCTTCGACATCAGTGAATGCGATATCGGTCATATCCTTGAAACTTCCATTGGATAGTTTTCTTGCCACTGTATTAATTGCTGCAGCGAGAGCTACATTGTAAGAGGCGCTTGAACCGAGCCCTATTCCTGATGGGAACGCATACTTCATCTCGATAGTAATGAAGTACTTCTCGGTGAACTCTTTGAGATCAGTTCCAGATTCTTTAACTGCTTCTATGAATGTGGTGAGAGCTCCGATTTCGGCAGTCTCGAGCTGGGAGATATCCTCAAGCTGCTCGTATTGTTCTAAGACTATTTTGAAGAACTTGCATTCAATATCTAAAAATGGGAATCCTTCCTCTCTCTTGAAGACCTTGACATGGCACTGGGTTCTCTTGTCTATGTTTGGTGTGAGAAATTGTTTTAGATTTGCCTCATGAAGACCCAGTCATTCGAATTTAAGGAATACTTACCGATAGTGAAAGCGATTGCTGGGTTGGTATCACTACCATAAGTCACTGAGTACTCTCCAGAGAGGAAGACCTTCCCTGGGGCAGTGAACAATGCATCGATTAGCGCTTTTGCTTCTGTTTCCATTTAAAATTAAAAATAATTATGGATTCCTTGTTTTCTAATTTAATATCCTTTCCCTGGGGTTTTGGGGTTTTGGGGTTTTGGGGTTTTGGGG